CAGGATTTCATCCCAAGTGGGACATCATTGTGATATTTTTAGGATGGAAAAATAAGGTAACAAAAGATAAATATCTTACAATTAAGATAATATAAAGATCAATATATGATTTTTATTTTGTAAGTTTATAGTTTAGTATATACTGGAGTGGAAAACTGAATAAAATTACCTGTAAATTACTAATTATGCTCATTAGCTTTTGTTTTGGAGTAATGAAGACAAATACTCTTTTTTTTTCTCCATACCAGAATTTGAATTCATGGCTTTGCATTTGATAGGAAGGTGGTGTCTATTCCTTCATCCATGCCTCTGGCCCTTTTTCCTATGGTTATTTTGGAGATAGGGTCTTGCTTTTTGTCCAGGCTTGCCTGAACTGTGATCCTCCTATTATACTTCTCACACCCACCTTTTTCTTCTGTTGAGATTGGATCCCATGAAATTTTTTGCCCAGGATGACCTGGAACCACAATCCTCCCAATCTCTGCCTCTGTGCAGCTGTGATGACAGGTGCATGCCACTGCATGCAGCTATTGGTTGAGGTGTAGTCTCACTAACTTTTTGCCCTGGCTGGCTTTGAACTGCCATCCTTCTGGTCTCAGCCTCCCAACTAGTAAGAATTGTAGGCATGAATTATAGCAAGAATTATAGGCATGAATTATAGCAAGAATTATAGAAACATATTCTTCTGGGGAAAAAAATTCTTAAGGGACAAAAGGATAGGTGTGTGACTTTTGTAAATGTACTTACAGGCCTACAATTTAAAACTTTTCAGCAGAGATTTCATTTGGAGTGAATTTGTTAATATCCTTTTATTAAGCAATGAAAACAATGCATAAAGGAAAATTCTGACAAACACTGGTATGTATTAGGATATATTTTTTAAAAGTTTTCTGTTGTTTCCTGAATTTTCAGAGTAGCCTGGAATATTCCAATTGAAGTATATAACCTCAATTGAATCAGTCTCTCACAGTTGTGAACTAAAAGGTTTTCTTTTTGACTTTTCTCTTTTACAATTTTTTTGAATTCCACAATTATTCTTTTTCCCAGCCCCAGTGTTGGGATGGTCTAGTCTCGTTGCTTCAAAACTGCCTAATAGCTTCCCACAACAGCTCCCAGCTCAGACTGCTTTATATTATATACTGATTGCATCAAAACTTACTTGTTTATACAATTAATATACCATAATAAAAAACTTACTCGAACTTTTTCCTTAAGGTCCTTCTCTGCTTTGCAGTATAACAACTAATTTTCCTTAGTTATTGTACAACTTATGGAGATGATACCAGAAACAGGTTTTTCACCCTGTTTTCTGTGTAACCTCTCCACCAAAATTGTGTTGAATGTTCTACTCTATTATTTGTATTACAAAAAACAATAAGTATGTTAACAAATTTTTCTGAACTTTTTTTAGGTGTTACTAGGGTTTGAACTCAGAGCCTTGTTAGGCAAGTGCTCTGCCACTTGAGCCATGCCCCCAAGTCTTTACATTTTAGTTATTTTCTAAATAGTGTCTTGCATCTTTTAGTGAGCAACCCTGGACCATGATCTTCCCAATCTCCTCCTGAGTAGCTGGGATTACAGATGTGAGACACCAAGCCTGGCCTTTTGCTGAATTCTTGCCTTCTTCCACTGAGATTCTTGTATGCCTTTCTAGGGGTTTAAACCTCATTTTCTTCATCTCTTCTGCCCCTGGTTATAAGTATCTGAAATCAAGGGGCAGGCTCACTGGCAGCCCAGAAAAGAGTTAAGCAATGAGTCTTTTTTTTTTTACTCTTAAGTCACAGGATATACAGAATGCTACAGTTTGACAGATGTAGCAGAAAATAATATTCAACTATGGTTACAGTGTTCATGAACATCCAGGTTCATGGTTCAGTCATACTTTTTGTATAAGTCAAACCCACTGTTAAGAAATCTAAAAAATCTTACAAGTTTCTTGTCACAACACAGCTTCAGAACTGTTCTTTGAGCATGAGAAGCCTAAGTTAGTAATAGATAACATTTCTTAAGCTCTTACTATATGGTATTGTATAAATTGTTCTATCTCATTTAATCCCTATGAAAATTCATGAGGGAGACTCTTTTTATTATCCACATGTTAAAGGTACAGGAATTGATGTTAGAAAAGTTAATTTTCTCAAGAACCCATAGCAAATGGGGCTAGGATTTGAATCTTAGTAGGTCTGACTGCAAAATTCATGCTTTTGTATTCTGTAGTTCATTGTGGAGAATCTTTAATGTGCCAGATACTGGCTGAATCTCCATATATGTGTATTATTTGTTCATTCACTTATGAATTATTCAGCAACTCTTTTTGGCCACTTGGTTGGGTTTTTGTTGTTGTTGTTTTGTTTTTTTCTTTTTTTTTTTCCTTTGTCAGTGCTGAAGTTTGAACTCGACAACTCTTTTTGAACATTCGCTGTATACGCTTTGCCAGGCACTGTGAAAATCCAAAGCTTATCGAAGTGGAAGTCATTCCCTCAAAGAATGTATAGATCAGGGAAGATATCATGTATAGAAATAACTATAAAATGAGGTACATAGTGATAAGAGCTATAAAACAGATTCACTTTTTTTTAAAATCTGTTATTCAGAAAAGGGAGAATGTTTTCATCTAAGGAGATAAAAAGACTCAGAGAAAAGTAGCATCTGAGTTGATCCTTAATAGATGGAATAATTTAGACATAAGGACATGAGAAAGTATGGAGTATACAAGTAGTTCAGGCTGAGAGAATATACAACCAATGACCCAGAGAGAGGAAGTTAGAGAAATTACGTATGGATGGCAAGAAAAGAATTTCAGGGAGTGGTAGCAAAAAATAGAATACTATGAATATGGTAGTTTCAATATCCAGAACATGTGCCTATTTCGTCACACTGTTAGCCTCTAAAGCATTTCCATTTTTTCTCCCTTCCTCTGTCTAGCATCTTTTCATACCTGGATACTCAAATAACTTTTTAAAGAAAAGAAACTTGGTCACAGGTGAAGGTGAAACATATTCCTTTTGAAAGATTAAGATTCCACTTATTTAGGAAAGAAAGGTTATGGAGAAATGTGATAACTCAGGAAACTTTAAGACCTTATTTTGTCCCCCAAAACCGCATTGTCAGAAATAAATTTGAAAGTAATATGCCCTTTCTTCCCTCAGGGGTCTTATAATTTAGTAAAGGGGACAAATATGTAAATAAGGAACTGCACTCTGTGATAGAGGAAGGTATTGGGAAGAGATGACACAAGAGCAGCAGTGATCATCTCTGAGGATGGCCATTAGTGAATGCTTCCAAAAGAAGCATATCTGAGGGCAGTACTTTTTAAGACAAATAAGACACGTTCTTATTTTAGAACTAAATTTTTTAAATTTAATAATACATCCTGCGTATCTTTTGTGTTAATTTATATAGCTACCCATTGCTCATTTTGATGGTTGTACAGTAATCCACTTATTATATCTAAAACTATTCCCCTGTTGATATTTATATTTGAGTTTCCACTTTTCTTGCTAATACACACAGTACAGTCCACATACACACAAACACAATGTACACAACATATAGAAAGCTTAAATATACATATATGTATTATATGTACACACACTTGCATCAGAATCTTTTTAAAATACATTCTTAGAAATAAGTAAATTATGTAAGTATTTAGTACATATTGCCAAATTACTCTGCAAAAATACTGTGTAGGAATGTTTTTTTTTCATACCTGTACAAAAATTGGAACTATAAATCTTCTTAAACTGCAAGAGTTATAAGTAAGAATATTATATGTGGCTTGAATTTGCATTTGTTTATTAGTAAAATTGAGTTCCTTTTCATGCTTACTGGATGGTTATATTTCTTCTTCTGTGAACTAATTGCTATTAGCATCTCAGATTTTTCCCCTATGCAGGCTAGTAGTTATTCTGTTAGTGTTTCATGGATGTTGGTGGAACACAGGACTCCTGGGTATGAAACAAAGAACTTCGTAGCTGACACCATAAGTATATTTGCATTGTTTCCCAGTGTCCCAAGTCCCCCAAGAGTGATGCAAAAAGGCTAGGGGGATGCTATGCATGCAGTAGATACTTGGCATGGTTGAGAAATATGGAGCTTGACAAAGTCCACATCTTTTAGAGCAAATGTGCACTCTTCTGTTCACTTAGATCTTTATCCTCGGTTTACAAGAGCTCTCTGCTATCAGAACAAATATTCCTTGATCTGTCATTGAATATAGCCTTATTTTATCCTAGTGTGCTTTTTAAATTTGATTTTTATCAATTGAAGTATTTTCCCATTCATGAGTTTCATTGCATATGTAGAAATACTGTCCTGTTACGAAATGGAAAAAATATTTGCAGATTTTTTTTCCATTTTTAGCCTTTACTGTTGGTCCTTTGGAATTTACTTTTATGTAAAGAATGATATAAGGACCTGCTGTGGTTTTACCAAATGATTTCGCAATTCTTATAACCACGTTTTTCATCTTTCCCCTGCTTTGTTGGGCACCTTCACTACATACTAACTGTTCATCTGCGCTTATCTCTTTTACTGTTTTTATTCTGTTCTTTTAATCTATTTGTACGTCATTGCTTCAACCTTATCTTTTAATTATTATAGCATTTTAGTCTACTTAATATCTTGTAGAATTTGTTCCCCATTATCTCTTAGAAAAAAATTGCCTGATTTCATTTATTACTTGTGGATTTTTTTTCCTAATTTTTTTATTTTGAGGCAGGGTCACACTCTGTAGCCCAGGCTGGCTTTTAACTGACAATCCTCCTGAGTGCTCGCATTACGTACATACACCACCATGTCCGGCTTTTAGTGAGTCTTTTAAAGTATTTGGTGAATATAACTTGAAAATAAATCCTAAATCACTGTCTTTCACAAGTTAATCCTTCTTTAAAATTCTTAGTGTTACTACTTTCATGAAGGCTTAATTTGCCTTTCAATAAATGCAGAAGCATAATTTCTATTTATAACTTCTAACTTTTTTCTTTATTTTAACATAGGTTCCTTGCAGTTTGGAATACTGGGATGAACTCCAGAAGGTGTTTATTGCATTTCAAGAATTTAGTCTGTCTGAAAGCAAAGTTTGTGAACTGCATTTGCCAGATATCAATCTTGTGAAAGGCCAGAAGAAACTGGTATCCTCAGACCTTTGGAGAATTGTCTTGAACAGCAACCAAAATGGAGCTGATGATCAAAGGTAACCCAGAGAGAGAAGAGACAGAGTTGCACTGGGGAACAGTCACCACGTCATCTTTTCTTAGTGCCTGTGGCTTGGCTGTCCAGCACCTGCATGTGCCTGAACTACAGAGGAGAGCTAGTAAAAAAGATAAATTCTGAGGTGTCACAGTCTGCATACTAAAAATCCCATGTTTTACTCATAATATAATGCATAAAGGCAAACTGAAAAAAAATGGTTTTAAAGAGCTTTAAAAGGCAACTTTCAATATTAAGAAAACTTGACCAACAAAGTTGAGATATATGAAGTTTTTAAAGTCAATTTGTCTGTAATGAATCTCAGGAGCCACAGATCAAAGGTTTCTGAATTATGACCCCCAAAAGTTCTTGTTCCCCACGTCCTGCAGAGTATCTGGTTGTGGCAGAAAGGATCCAGGTTATACCCATCTCCGCTGCTTGCCTGTCATATCCACTGACTTAGAGTAAGAAAAATGGCTTTAGCAGCCTCTTCTCCAGCTAAGCCTTCTGGTCATGCTCTCATAATTTCGACTGAAAAAGAAAGCGAGCCACAGTCAGTGGAACATTTTCTTTGGTATAGATATGATGTATAGGCTTAGGCTGTGTTCTTCATTGCTGTCAGTGTCCTGCCTTCCTCTTCTCCCAAAGGGTGGACCTAAATGTTCTTATGTGATCCCTTCTTTTGGGCTGCAAATCAACTTTTTTCCTTTTCTATTTAACCTTTATTTTTGCTTATATGAATATATATGTTATAATTATAGCCTACCATTATGTTTTTATTGCTGCTTTAAATTATAAATGAGTTGCATGGCATGGTGGTGCTCATCTATAATCCCAGTTATGCAGGAGGAATAGATAGGAGAATTGCGTCCAATGGTAGCCCCAGGTGAAAAGCATGAGCTAAAAAACAACTAAAGCAAGAAAAGGCTGGGGTGTGTTTCAAGTGGTAGAGCACCTGCCTAGCAAGTGTAAGTCCATGAATTCAAACCCCAGGATAATCAAAGAATAATAAAAATGAATTAATTGTACATGTTTTTTCTTTTGAAGGTATTTTTATTAATAGTATATATTCGTTAAAGAACATTTTTATTCATTTATTCATATGTACATACATTATTTGGGCCATCTCTTCCCTCTTGCCCCCCGCCCCCCGTCCAGGCAGAACCTGTTCTGCCCTCTTCTCCAATTTTGTTGAAGAGTAGACATAAGCAATAATAAGAAAGACAGCACATATGAATAATAAAAGAAAAAGGAAAAAAAAAAAAAAGAAAGACAACGTGTTTTTGCTAGTTGAGATAAGGATAGCTATACAGAGAGATTCCTAGCATTGCTTCCATGCACAAGTGTATTACATATTACAACCCAAATTAATTCATCTCTCCATGAACTCTTCATGACTTCCTGGTCACCTTCCCATAGTGGCCTCTGTCAGATTAAGATTACTATATTAGCTCCTCTACAGTGGGCACATCAAACACTTTCAAGTTTTGGGTTTCCTACCTTTCCCTATTCCTCCTGTATGTGTTCTCCCCTTAGCATGTGACCATGTCCAATAATATTACTGCATTTGTTTTGGGTCTAAAGTCCACATATGAGGGAGAACATATGATTTTTGACCTTCTGAGCCTGGCTAACTTCGCTTAAGATGATGTTCTCCAGTTCCATCCATTTACTTGAGAATGACAAGATTTCACTTTTCTTCATGACTGAGTAAAATTCCTTTGTGTATAAATACCACATTTTCTTAATCCATTTGTCAGTAGTGGGATATCTTGGCTGTTTCCATAACGTGGTTATTGTGAATAGTGCTGCAATAAACATAGGTGTACAAGTGCCTCTGGGGTAACCTGATTCACATTCCTTTTTGTATATCCCTAGGAGTGGAATTGCTGAATCATATGGCAGATCTATGTTTAGTTTTTTAAGAAGCCTGAATATTGTTTACTAGAGTAGTTGTACTAGCTTGCATTCCCACCTGCAGTGTACGAGGGTTCCATTTTCCCCACATCCTCGCCAATACCTGTTGTTGGTGGCATTTTTGATGACAGCTCTTCTAACGGGTGAGGTGGAATCTCAAGTGTGGTATTGATTTGCATTTCCTTTATGGCCAGTGTTTTTTGGCCATTTGGATTTCTTCTTTTGAGAAAGTTCTGTTTAGTTCAGTTGCTCATTTCTTTATTGGCTCATTGATTTGGGAAGAATTTAGTTTTTTGAGTTCCCTGTATATTCTGGTTATTAGTCCTTTGTATGATGTATGGCTGGCAAATATTTTCTCCCACTCTGTGGGTGGTCTCTTCAGTTTAGAGACCCTTTCTTATGTTATGCAGAAGCTTTTTAATTTTATATAGTCCCATTTGTCCATCCTTTCCTCTGTTAAGCAACCTCAGGAATAGGTATATTCCCTATCCCTATTTCTTCCAGAGTATTCCCTGCTCTTTCCTGTACTAACTTCAGAGTTTCAGTCTGATACTCTGGTCCTTGATCCACATTAAGTTGATACTAGTACAGGGTGGTAAATATGGATCTAGTTTCAGTTTTCTTCAGGCAGATAACCACTTTTCCCAGCAACATTTGTTGAAGAGGCTGTCTTTTCTCCATCATATGTTTTTGGTGTCTTTGTCAAAAATAAGGTGGGTATAGCTGTGTGGATTCATATCCAGGTCCTCTATTCTGTTGGTCTTCATATCTGTTTTTGTGCCAGTACCATGCTGTTTTTATTGCTATTGCTTTGTAATATAGTTTGGAGTCAGGTATTGTGATAACCTCCAGCACTGCTGTCTTTTTGCTGAGTCGTGCCATGGCTATTCATGGTCTCTTGTGTTTCCAAATGAACTTTAGCGTAGATTTTTCAATCTCTGTGATGAATGTCCTTGGGATTTTGATGGGAATTGCATTAAACATGTAGATTGCTTTTGGTAGTATAGCCATTTTTACTATGTTGATTCTACCAATCCAAAAGCACGGGAAATCTTTCCACCTTCTGAGGTCCTCCTCGATCTCTTTTTTAAGGGGTTTGTAGTTCTCCTTGTAGAGGTCATTCATATCCTTTGTTAAGTTTACTCCTAGGTATTTGATTTTTTTTTTTTTAGGCTATTGTAAATGAAATTGTTTCCATGCATTCTTTCTCAATTTGTTCATTGTTGGTGTATAGAAAAGCTAATGATTTTTGTAAGTTGATTTTGATCCTGCCACCTTGCTGTAGCTACTTATGGTGTCTAGGAGTTTTGGGGTAGAGATTCTTGGTTCTTTGAGATATAAGATCATGTTGTCTTCAAATAGGGATATTTTGTCAGTTTCTTTACCTATTTGTATTCCTTTTATTTCTTCTTCTTGCCTAATTGCTCTGGCTAAGAATTCCAGGACTATGTTGAATACAGGTGGGGATAGCAGGCACCCTTGTCTCATTCCTGACTTTAGGGGAAATGGTTTCCGTTTTTCTCCATTAAGTATGATGTTGGCTATAAGTTTGTCACATATAGTCTTTACAATGTTGAGGTGCATTCCTTCTATTCCTAGTTTTCTTAGCACTTTTATCATGAAGTGATGTTGGGTCTTATCAAAGGCTTTTTCTGCATCTTTGAGATGATCAAGTGGTTTTTCTCTTTGGTTCTATTAATGTGCTGTATTACATTTATAGATTTGCATAAGTTCAACCACCCCTGCATCCCTTGGATGAATCCGAGTTGGTCATGGTGAATATTCTTTCTGATATGTTGTGGGATTTAGTTTGCCATTATTTTATTGAGGGTTTTTGCATCGATGTTCATTAAGAAGATTGGCCTGTAGTTCTCCTTTTTGGAGGTGTCTTTGTCTGGTTTTGCGATGAGTGTAATACTGGCTTCATAAAATGAGTTAGGCAGTGTTCCTTCCCTTTCTATTTCATGGAAAAGTTTAAGGAGAGTTGGTATTAGTTCTTCTTTAAATGTCTGATAGAATTCAGCAGAGACTCCATCAGGTCCCAGACTTTTCTTTTTTTGGGAGACTATTGCTGCTTCAATTTCATTTTGTGTTATAGATCTATTCAGGTGATTAATATCCTCTTGGTTCAGTTTTGGATGGTCATAAGTATCTAGAAATTTTTCCATTTCTTCAAGATTTTCAAATTTATTAGAACATAAATAGTATATTTATATATTTAAATCATCAAAGTAGTCTCTGATGATTTCCTGGACTTCCATGGTGTTTGTTGTTGTCTCCCCTTTTGCATTTCTGATTTTACTGATTTGGGTTTTTTCTGTCCTCATTTTAGTCAGGTTTGCCAGGGTCTGTCAATCTTGTTTATCTTTTCAAAGAACCAGCTTTTTGTTTCATTGATTCTTTGTATGGTTTTTTTGTTTGTTTGTTTGTTTCTATTTCATTAATTTTGGCCCTTATTTTTATTATTTCTCTCCTTCTGCTTGTTTTGAGATTTGCTTGTTTTTATTTTTCTAGGAGTTTGAGATGTAGCATTAGGTCATTGATTTGAGATCTTTCTGTCCTTTTAATGTATGCACTCATGGCTATAAATTTTCCTCTTAGGACTGCCTTTGCTATGTCCCATAGATTCTGGTAGGCATTTTTCATTTTCATTAACTTCCAGAAACCTATTAATTTCCTCTTTTATTTCATCAATGACCCATTGATCATTGAGCAATATGTTGTTCAGTTTCCAATTGCTTGCATGTTTTCTATTGTTGTTTTTGTAGTTGAGTTCTAGTTTTAATGCATTGTTATCAGATAGAATGCATGGGATTATTTCTGTTTTCTTACATTTGCTGAGGCTTGCTTTGTGCCCTAAGATATGATCAATTTTGGAGAAGATTCCATGGGCTGCTGAGAAGAATGTATATTGTGCAGAAGTTGGATAAAATATTCTGTAGACCTCAGCTAGGTCCATTTGATCTATGGTGTGATTTAGTTCTAGAATTTCTTTATTGATGTTTTGTTTGGATGACCTATCTGGTGGTGATGTGGGGTATTAAAGTCTCCCACTATCACTGTGTTGGAGTCTATATATGCTTTTAG